CTGACCCCCGGTGTTGGCACCTTCAGCTGCTTCTGCAGCGCTGTTCTCATCAAGTTCCTCCTTTCCTACCAGTACTGCACAACCGTCTTGCTCCTTCAGGCTCAAATCACCAACATCCACATGCTGCAAAGGGTCAGTGGAGAAGCTGATGACAGGGTCTTTCCCTTCCATCTCTTCCTCATCTTCATCACTCTCCTTTTCAGCAGAATCTGTTACCAAGGGAGCTAAGGTAGGAGGACAAGATTTGTCACCATATTCCCTACAAAAGGAAGAAAAAGCATAACATAGCTTTCTGTCCCAGAGGACAATGAACAAATGTCACCCTGATAAAAGGCACTGGCAGTTGCATGGATCTTTTTACACATTCTCAAAACTATAAAATTTATTTTTAACTCATTTTCCTTCATAAACTCTATGTCCCCCCATGAATCTTAATTTAGAACTGAGCAGACTAGTTGAATTCAAACACAGAGCAACTCAGTTATTTGGTTGAGACTGGCACAGTTGAGTGTCTTTAAGCAAAAAATGATTCAAAGTTCACTTTTTATAGAATAAGATGATTTTCTAAAATCAGCAACAGGGATGTTCTAGCTTCTTTTCCATAATAATTACTCACAGGTTGAAGGAGCTGAATCAAGTGAATCATTTTATGTATTTATTGTCAATATGTATATAATGGATAGATGTCAAGACAGACACCTGCTTCTGCCAGAAAAGTCTGGTCATCAAAAACATGTAGCTGAAACCTTAGTAATGGTCACATCTAAACTGTACCCAAATAACTCAGTATGTTGAACTGACAGATTAACGTTACTGGGGCACAGATTTTGACTTTGGTAAACACGTTTTACCAAATGCCTGGCAATATACCCACCAGAGGTGATCCATGTAAGTATGCAGCACGGCAAAGCCCTTCCCTTTCATTCCAGCAGCCAGCATCTCTGCAGTGGACATTGTGGCAACCGCAACTGCTACTGGAGCTCTGGGAAAAGAAGGGAGTATTACAGCAGGACAGCACAAACACACTGTGCTGTAGGACACAGACAGGCTCTGCCACTGTGATGTACTGAATTGCTTTTAAGATGTCCTTGTTCTTTACAACCTGGGGTTCTTTTAAAGCATCTAGGTGTTTTCTGGGTTTGTCCCATCTTTCTGGTATGTAAAGTCTTCCAAAGAATCCTAAGAATATGTGTGGCTGTGATACTGAAGCATCAAATGCTCGAGAACAATTCTGCTTTTATTTCCTCAAAACCCCCAGCGTCTTCCTCTAAAAACCAGCTTCACTTCATTTTCAGTTTCTAAGAAAAGACATGAATAAAGAATCCTCTGTACCTGTTTCCCAAAAGGGTGACAGCACAGAGTGTGCCCCGCTCTACTTGAGGAAAGCCAGAAGATGGCACTACAACTCCTGGCAGCATCAGATCTGAAGAAAAGAATAAAGCACATCCATTTCTCAATGAAAAACTCGGCCACCACCTCCTCCACCCCCATCCCTCCTGTTACTCAGCAAAAACACAAGCCTGTTAATAGCTGGGCACATGCCAGATAAAACATCATTCTCTCTTTCTCCTAGTAAGGCAGCACTTCTTGCTGCCACCCTGGGGAGTAAGGGATCCAATTCACAAGGGTGATGGACACATCCCAAAAAATTGCAGATGAGCTAGAGCATGCTCAGCCCCTTGCCCTGCCAGGCCCGAAGGGAATACTGCTTTTAACAGGAAGGTACGGGCTCCCAGTAGAGCCACCAGAGAGCATTACTCTTCATTAATGACATGGAGGGAGAAAGAAACAAGCAGATGTGTCTGGAACTACCCATTTGCTCTTCCCTGTCCCAACGGCAGGTTGTCCCAGCAGCTCTCTCCCTGAAGAGAGAATTGCCTAAAATTTGCCACTGCTGACCCAGCCCTCCTGATCTGACACAATAGCTGCGCTCAGCTGTGAGCAGTTCTCGGCATGAGGAAGCAGCCTCAGCCATCTCCTTGCTAATCTGGACTGAAACTGTACACCTTGTTGTGTGCTTCCTTCTGCTTTCCGTACTTGGGATGAATAGACTGGCATGTGAGTAAAGAACAATTTTCCATGCTGCAAGTACAGCATCATGTCATCACCAAATTATGTAAAAATCATCTGTTCTCCTTCATAGCAGCTATAATTGTCTAGAGCTGCAGTCTCGTGGACTGACCTGTGTTCCATGGTCTGGTTTTGAAGGCATCTCACTTTTTTCTCAGCATCATAAATTTAATGTGTGTGCTGAAGAAGCCAACAATATTTTTTCCTTCCATTCACTGTCACAACTACTTTCAGCAAATCTAGAATGAACTCTGCAATTGGAACAAAGGCTCCACATCTCTGAGGACAGAAATCACATGAAGACCTCAACGTGACAAGGTAAGCAGTATGTGTATATTATGTAAACAGCCAGGGCAGACAGTAGATACTTGAATTCACAGACAAGATATGAATAGCATTACCTTGCTTCTCCTCTTTGTAACTGAATGCTCCCTAAACCCGCTCCCTCCCTCAATGCCTGCAGCGCTGGATAATCTCATGCCTTTCCTCTTCCTCTTCTTTCTGAGCTGTGGCTCTACCTCTCCTCTCTGCCTTTGTTGGCCATTGTCTCGGTGGCCAGCTTCTTATCTTTGCATCGTACCCAGAGGTAGCCCAGTTGCCATGGGAGATGAATGACCTGCAGCCCTCTTTCATCAATGTCCTTTCCCCATTAGCAGACTTTTTTTTTCAGAAACTAGGTCACTACAAGCCAGCAGCAAAGCAGCAATGTCTATCACAGCTACACAGGCACTCTATTTCCCCAAACGCAAACAAAGTAAACAGATGGACTTGAGTTCTACTTTAGATACTGTGTAATGGAAAAAAGACGTCTCCTCTACACATACACTTCCATTTACAGACTAAGGCTGCAGTGGCAGCACTTTAATCTTTTTCTGGTTGAGCAGTTCAGCAATTTGAAGTTTATAAAGACCTGATTCTTGTGAGTCTGAACTGCATCCAAATCAGGTTCCGGAAAATAGACTCCTTTCGTGTTAGTCTCAATCCGTAATTAGGTGGTAGAGCCAGTAATCCAGGAATTCAAATCCAACCTCACCTGCACAGTCCACAATTTACTCGACAGCAATTACAACTGTAAATTCAAATCTAAACTCACTTCTTATCCATAGGATGAGCTAGTTTGCCTCTGAATTTACAGGAAGTAGGGTGGCAGCAAAGGAACTCAGCCGCTCAAGGAAAGTTATAAAACAGACAGACCAATGACATGGGCAGTTCTGTGTCCCAGTTCAGAGTTGCTGATCACCCTGGGAAGATATTTCCAAATCCGAGACTCCCACATGGAAGAGGTTACTGCATTTAAACAGCTTGACCTAATTTGTTTCATTCACAAACTCTTTTACAGCTGATTTGTCTTCCTTTTTAGGACATCACCGTGAATTACTTATGAGTATTTATTCTTTATTTTTTTTTATTTCAGGTACATTTTTGCCACTGGGAAAGATACGTGACGAAGTTCTAGTCCTCTTACCTGCTCCTCCGGCTAGTTTCTGTAGCACAGGGGGCCATGTTGAAAAAGCAGGGAGAAGATCTGGGTAGACCCACAGAGTGTACACTGTCGCAAAACAGAATAAAATATAAAGATGCACCATTAAAAACTTCTCTAGCTGTCGTTTCTTCCCATCTTTAAGACTAAGCAGTACAAAACTAACTACAACTGAACACTCTCCTGTTGCTTGGGTAATCAAGAAATATGAAGTCAGAACAATCCTACAATAATTAGGAGAAAAATAAACTGTGGGTTAATTTAAGCTCCTGTGAATTATTATAAAGGATAGATAAACATTTGCATTATTTTCCTTAAATCAAGGACACCTGGAGCTAAAATGCTACTCCAACAGGGAAGAACTACTGGGTATGGGAAAAATAAAAATCAGAGCAATTCATTGCCTAATTCCTGGGTTGCCTGTAAGTGGACACCATGCATCTTGGAATTACACCTTGCAGTGGACAAGAGAGAGAAAAAAGGGCTAATATGCTAAACTAAGACTTAAAAGACTTGTTTCCCGGTTTCTAACCCCTGAGCATGGTCAATTTCCTTTTTGCAGAAGGACTCCAGAAATGCCACTGATTCCACAAAAATGTTGGTACAATAAATGGACTAAAGACTATGAAGTGTACTGATATATAGTGATAGGATAAGTACTTAAGGCAGACAGAAGGAAATCTTTTTGGGAAAGGTTGGCGCCCAGCGAGTAAAGAGGGATGATTATTCTAGTCCCCTCCCCATACCTGTCGGATACAGCGCTTTGTCAATTTCAAACAGTATTGGGTTCTTGTTATTCATATAAACAGTGACGGCCTCCCCTTTGTGAGAGTATATTTTGATGACATTAAGCTCTTCCTTGTTTGGAATAAACTCAGTTAATTGCTCAGCACTAAGGTGAGGAAAAGCTGCTGCAACATCCGTTCGTAGTTTTCTCCTGTAATGATAAAACCACAAATGCGTGTTACAAAGCTGTCTGGATGATCCCACAAAATAACTCCTAGATCACTAGCTACTATTTCGTTGGCTGTTCTTGAGATTGTGTCTTTTTCACAGAAGACAATTTGAAGCATTTGTGCCTGGGTTTACAAACCAGAGTTACATACTGGAAAGAAGAATACTGGGAAAAGGCCACATACGCTTGCCCTGCCCTTATTCTATTCTATCTGTTTACAGCTCCAGTTGCTGTCTTTGCCTCTGTTTCGCTCTGTAATTTCACTGCTGTTCCGAGCTCCTGGGCACAAAGCCGTGCCTGTCACCCACAGCCTCCCGCAGCCCCGGCAGGATCTCCCCCTGCCCCTCTTTTAACCGCACAGGTCATTCACAGCCTCTAAAACATCAGCCAGGCAGCCTGGCACCGCTACCCGGGAACAGAAAGGTACAGAAGGACCAGCTAAGCCTCCACGCAGCCACTAATTTAAATCTCTATTAATTACGGCAGCACCACCAAGTGAAAAGTGAATATCACGAATCCAAAGGGCAGCAGCCAGCCCCAGGCCCGCACCTCAGCG